TCATGCAAATACAGTGACGATAGAATAAAGGTAAAAAGAGAAGAAAACAAAGATGGAAATATAAAGAACAGTGCCAAAAAGAATCCACATCTTCCACAGTTGTGGCATACACTAATCGTTATTTCCAATATAGAAAGAAATACGTAATGACGGTATTCAGTTACAGTTTTTTGTTTTGTGTGTGTGTGTGTGTGGGTTCCCTCCTCGCAAATTTATAGTATAATGCGTTGTTTACTTCATTTTGTTTTCATACTGTTGGATATTTTTGCTCATGGTTGGTAGTAAAGCATAGTTAAAGGTCAGGCTAAGACAGCAACTGTCATGGAAAACGCATATCATTGTATCTGTTATATCTTCTTGATTAGATTTCCTGCTAACCAAAATTCGTGAGTTTATGCTGAATGCCTAAGCTGATCAAAGTGTAAAGAAATGATTAAAAACATGAAAACTTTACGAAGGTGGAATAAAAGTGAATTTTAAAGTCGTGATTTGCTGCACCAGTAAAAATTCTGTACATGTGAAGTCAACCTAGGAAGGCTGACTTTGGCTGTTGCAGGAAAATCTTTTAACTTTATTCTAAACATTCTCTCAACTTAATATATGAAAGAAAATGACATAGTATAACATTACTTATTACTCTTTATTTTTCTTCTTATCATTCTGTCCAAATATACAGGTATTAAGCCTTGGTTACGGCAGGAGTCAGAAGAGTGGATAGCTACTTGTAAAGCCACTGAAAGAACTGAAGGCCGGCATGGCCAGGTGGTTAGGGCACTCGACTCGCAATCTGTGGGTCGCGAGTTCGAATCCCCGTCCCACCAAACATGTTCGCCCTTTCAGACGTGGGGGCGTTATAGTGTGGCGGTCAATCCCACTATTCGTTGGTAAAAGATTAGCCCCAGAGTTGGCGGTGGGTGGTGATGACTAGCTGCCTTCCCTCTAGTCTTACACAGCAAAATTAGGGACGGCTAACGCAGATAGCTCTCGTGTAGCTTTGCGCGAAATTCAAAACAAAACAAAGACAGAACTGAACAACGGGTAAAGTAATATTTATCCTATCTACAATGTAGCAAACCTGTTTTCCACTACTTGTGATATTGTTTATTTCAAATAAAGTAATGTGCTAATAACAGTAAACATGACATCATTCGTATAGCAACATTTAGTAAACGTATATGGTTGTTTCAGTATGTAACAAGTTAAGTCTCAAGAAATTAATAAAATGGCTTTATAAATTACTCATAAAATCCGAATCACTAATAATCTTAAGATAATTATGTTTTTTTTTGAGAAAAAAAAAGATCAAATTTATTACTATTAATTTCCCTTGAAATGATGTGACCAATGAAATATAATAACACGGTAAACTGAAATTCAGGTAGAGGAACCTGTTTCCCAAATTTATTTTTCCCCCTTTTTTTTACACAGATTGGATTCTTGTATGCAATTAGATTTGGAGCATTATCGTTAAAGCTCCTCAGTAGTATGACTTTGGTTGAGGATTAAAATCGCATTGAATATGTATAATATGAATGATCACTAACTGCTTTTGGGAGAGCACGTTAAACACACACATAATATATATACATATAAACTATATCAACATACTCGTATACATCATATGTATAGAAATACGCAGCATTAAACTCAATAAAATGACCGAATCTGTACGCATACAATTATTGGCGGGCACGAACCCCTGCTTGTCCTCCTTGGGCATGTTCCTGATCACCAAAGAAATACAGGCACAGTCCTGAAGTGTCTTGTGAACATATACTGCAACAGTAGTAAGTTTATAGTTTTCCAACGCTAAAATACTGGGTTCGATTCCCCCACATCGAATACAGCAGATAGCCCAATGTGGCATTGGTCATAAACAAAAACAAATCAACGCAAGCAGTTAGAGTCAATCTTTATATCCAGGAGCAATAGGACTAGTTTACTGGTTAGCCAGTTCTTCTGAATAATCAGTAAAGTTAATTCAAGGGAAAATACATAAATTATAACAAATAATTAATGTTAAAATAAAACAAAATATTGTAGTGTTAAGTCTTACCTTAATTTTGATTTGTAAAGTAAGTGACTCATATAAAATTGATATATATTGTTACGACAGCAGAAGTCAAGTGACGCTAGTAACACGTCATGAACTTCTAGAAGGATCCTGTCCCTTCCTGAAGTCTCGAGAGGCTACTATATATGCGGTAGTCTTGTATATATAAGACCGGTAAGAACTGACGGC